TGGCCCCCCCAACAAAAATTTTCTAGACACGCCACTCCTTGCTGCAGCACTCTTGAGCAACTCGAGGCTTTTCAGAAAGCTTTTAAAGCGGCCTGATAATAACGAGTCACAATAGTCCAACCTCAAAGTAATAAATGCAGAGTTACAGTTTCAGCATCACTCCAAGTCAAGATGTTTCTAATTTTAGTGATATTGTACTGATAAATGAAATCAGTTCTACATATTTGCTTAAGGTGCACAAATGGTAAAAAACGACAAACATGAATCTGTGATTGGCTGCAAACTGGACACATTTGAAGCTGTGGTGGTAAGAAGGTCAGAGGACAAACTATTCTCCATCCTCTGAAAAACATGCTGAGAACCTTCTCAAACAGAAACATCTTTCATTGTTTACTGTGATGTTGTAAACTTTTTTGTTGTGTTTGAGAAAAGAGAATATTTTATTGCATAAAACAGTGCTGATCGCATTTTTCAAACATCTGCTTTGGCAGCTGACTGTGGGGCTCGGTACACCCGGCTTGGCGTGGAAAAACAGAGTGTGAGACTCCAGCTTCTCTTTAGTCTGATGACTCAAACAGGCTCTCCCCCACTCTGTCATTTAAACAGTGCTTTACAAACCTGAACATTGGAGCTAACAGCTGGATTTTCCTGTTTCAGTGCAGCTGAGACAGGAGACAGACAGTGAAAGTGGACGGTACACCCTCGGTTTAACACAAAAACTCATTGTTGCAGGCAGGGGCAGCACAAAAGTGACCCCTTAAACTGATTTTTATTCCAAGTCCCCCTGTTTTCCCCTGAGTTATTGGTCCTGTTACTATGCCTGTGAAGGTTCTCAGTCAGTCAAGGAGCTTGGAAAGAGAAGTGTCTGGACTTCTTTAAGTTTCCTTATTGATCCTCTACCTCGTGTGATTAGGTAGAGGATCAATAGGGGGTCCATGACCCTCTTGGGGACACTCCCATAGGGATTAAAATCTGGGACTCGCCACCAATTGCTCTTAGAACTGAAGAAGCTTCTCCACTGAGAGGTGAAACGTCTTTAAGGAAATTTAAAGAGGTCCAGACGCTTTTCTTTCCAAGCTCCTTAGACGGTTCTGTTACTAGCTAGACTTACATTAGTTTATTTTAGCTATTAACCACAACCAACCAATGGTGTCATGTTCTGTACTGAGAGAAGATGGCGCTACACATTTTTTAGCACTTATTTCTTAAATCCAGCTTCACAGAGTTACATTCATGGCTGTTTTTGAGAGCAAGGCTCCATCATGTAAATGAGTCTTTACACATGAAGTGTTTCAGGTCCACTTTAAGCATAATTAAGTACCAAAGAGTGCAAAGCCACTTACCTCAGTGTTACTGGATGTAAGAGAACATATGAAAGTTGCATGTATACTTAAGTGATGATAATAACGTGCATTTACCTTCCTACATTTCAGTATCCATAAGAGATGAATTTGTCCACTATAATCAAAAGGATACAATGCTTTATGGTGAACTGAGTATACTGTGTATTCATTGCTCCCGAACTTTACCCGTTATTTGCAGGGATTTAATTTCTATTATTGTGGCCCCATCCCTAGGGACTGTAACGGTATAACCCTAACCCAATATTCCAATCATGTATCTATCTATCTATCTATCTATCTATCTATCTATCTATCTATCTATCTATCTATCTATCTATCTACTTAGCACTTTTAATTCTTATTCTCATTTTTATTTTCATGTCCATTTAAGCTTAATTTATAACAGTATTTATAACAGTATGTTTGCACTGAAGCACCGCAGCAATTTCCTAATGTTGTAAACCCGCTCAACATTTGGCAATAAAACCCTTTCTGATTGTGATTCTGACTCCACTACATTCATGTCACAATTGTAATTAATTAATTTACAAAATTAAGACACAGAAAAGATCTTACATCTCCAATAAGCTACTTTTCTTTTTAATTATTTTACTAATTTGGAAGTTAATTTTGATGTTCATTTGAGCTCAGATGTTTATTTTAGAAAACAAATCAACATTGATTATAATTATAATCAGCAGATCAGTTCGTGACAGAAGTACTCACTGACTACATCAGTCAAATACAGCTTTGATATTAGGAGAATGCAAGAGTTATCAACATGTAATGTTTAACATTGACTGCTCTCTCAACTGAATTCTCCTGATATATTGCCTCAACTGTGAGTTACATGAATTCACACAGCCTAGTAATTAAAAACGTAAACAGTAAGTTAATGCAACTCGAACTGGATTTCCTTATTCGGTTAACACTGGTTTAGTGCTTGGCGGTGACCAGCACGTGTGAGGCAGACACTGACAGTGTATAACACTGTAATAGTGCAGGGTGTGCGAGTGTTATTTTCTGACTTGGGCCAACAGCCCCCCATCCAGCCCGAGTTGGTTGGGCGACCAGACCAGTTCAGAAAGTCTGGATCAGACCCGACAGACTGCTTTGAGCACATTCTCGTGGGGTTACTTGCATTTTTTTTCACTTACGTGACATTTTCAATACAAAAATCAGAGATGTAAAGGTCTATTTCACGACATTGGTGCTTTTACATGACCTCTTCCACCACTCGTATGGGAACAGTCCGCTCGAGCAGTCGTGCCAAATAAAAACAGAACTATTTCTGATAGCAGAAATAGTTCTGTTTTTATAGTCTAAGCTGTTTTTATAGTCTAAGCTGTTTTTATAGTCTAAGCTGGGTAAGATAAGAAACATACGAAACTAAACATAAACAAACTCATAAACTAAATTTACGTTTAAGTGTGCCATGTTCTTACCTTCCGAGCTCTCTGCCGGGAATAACAGTGTAGTGGTCGGCGAAAGGTTCGTTGTGGATGGCGGTTTGGATTTCGGACAACAAGCCGCTGACACTGCGGCTCTGGCTCGGTCCAGCTGCGTGGTTGTGATGAAGGCGGCTTCTGCTTCTCGAGTCCCCGGCACGCGGGCATTCGGGGATCATGGCGTCGATTAATTGGACCGGTTAGTTGGCCAACGTTAAACACTTCAAACAAGGTCAGCACAATTACATTAAATGACGCCGCTTACTATTCTCCGAACGACAACAGAAACCAAACAAAACCCAAAACATTAGGGCGACAGAATAATGTCACGTCTTCTAGGCCAAGCTTCACATTATTAGCGCAGTCTAACATTGTAATAAAAACACAGCTGGAGAGCTCATTTTGACCACTCCACACTCAGCGTCCTGCCTGTCAGTCCCTCAACTTGCTCCTCACTTAGAAGCTGAACCGGTGCTGCTGCGTTTTCTGTAACCATGGTAGCACGTGTTGATTGACAGGCGTGCCTGCCAATCGGAATGGGTTACAGAGAGAGAGAGAGGGGAAGAGCGAGAGACTTCTGTGTTGATCGGCGAATTAAAAATTAAACGTGAAATATATAGCGGGACCAGTTTTCACGTCCCTTTTAATATTAAAAAAATGCATACAATGTATACATTTCTATTGCTTTTAATAATAAATATTGATAGAACTGTAAGTCTCTTAAAAAGCAACACAAATGATATGTAAACTACAAAGAACAAAAGCAACAGAAAAGCTAACTTAACAAAAGAGAAATAAAGGCACGCAAGTAATTACACAAAGAAACAAAACATGTAGAAAGAGACGAAGAAGATTATAAAGAGAAACAAGCATCTACAGAGGAAGGCTCAGGAAGCAGAGTGGATGGTTGGTGGTTTGATGGTCCTTGGCTAAGATACTGAATGATACACTCATCAGAGTGTGAATGTGTGTGAACGTTATACAGAAAGCCCTTAGATATAGAAAACTGTTTATGTTGTATAAAATGCTTTGAGTATTCAAGTAGAAAAGTACTTTATAAGAACCAGTCCAGTTTTTATGTAGACTGGGGAACTTCCAGGTGGGTTTTAGGTCTCATATCCAATACCTTCTTACCTTCTTACCTGTATTCAGGGCACACATGAATTTGAGGACTATCTCTACTTAATATGTAATATAAGGCTTATAAAAAATAAAAACCTTTTATCAAAGATCGACAGTGAACCTTTTCATTTTTCACCCCTTTGTCTGTAGAATCAATACACACAGCAGTAACAAAGTGACCATTTTATTAAGATCCATATGGTAAGGTGGGGCAATAGAACAGCCTGAGTATTTAGAAACCTGTTCTCAGTCAAATATGAACTTTAACATTATGTACATACATGTATAGTAACCACACATGAAACTGGAAACAAAAGAAAATATCCATGTTTTAGTGTCACCACCTGGTCTTCTCCTGTCTACTTCTGATTAATTCAAACACACACACACACACACACACACACACACACACACACACACACACACACACACACACACACACACAAAACAGCAGCAACAATTTTCCACCACCTTCCCTGTCAGTAGACAGCCCATCATCATTTACTTTTCCAATATTCTGTTTAAACTTGTATAGCTTCTATCAGCACATTTACAGATAAGTGTTACTGGAACATTTGTAATCATTCCTTTCCCACAATAAATATCAGTGTTATGATGTATGCATTCATCATATCAACCCAACAAAAACAACAAATCAGTAAGCTCTCTTTACATGTTCACCAAAGCACATACAAAAATCATTAACTGCCCAAAGAATAGAGTGCTTCCTGGATTCATGTGGCTCTGACATTTCTAACAGAGTGAGCCACAGCTGACATTAACCTCAATAATGCCACCAGCAAAAGTGGTGAACAGAAAAAGAGGAGCCAAATGGGAACAAACATCACAGTTTCCCCGCAGAAAACCAAAAAAAAATCAGCCAGCTTATTTTAGAATAGAAAAGACACAAATAAGAACCCAAAGGCTTCAAATTCAAAGGCAAAATCTTCCACTGATCCTCCTAATTACATGATTACAAAATAAAATAGAAAGAAAACATTCAAGGAAAGTTTCAGGACTTCCCCTTGCTTATAAATACAATACTGTATAAATAAGAGTACAAACGATTGTAGAAAAAGGATGAGGAGAGCAACTAAATCACAGCCTTGTCCTTGTGTGTGTTGGGATGTGTGGACAAGATGTTGCCACACCAAACAAAAACTGGAGTAATTATCGATCTGACTCACAGGAGCGTGGGTAATCTCCAAAAATCTCAAATTTGTGTCAATCAAAGTTCTGTGGATTCTTCTTTAGTGGAACCTATCACTGCAGTTTTTCTCCTCTATAGGGAAGCGAATTCATGACAGTATTTTAAATGAAAATAAAAAAAGTGAAATTCTGGAGATATAGTCAGCTTTTCAAACATCACACCATGTTGGGAATAAAGAAGCCTAAAATTTGACAGGCCGCTGAAGTCAGGGATCTTTGCTATGTGTCAAACTTTGACATGTAGTTGATTTGTGAGTAACAACAGTGTTGACCCAGGGTGAGTTTGGCTACAAGTTCAGCATTCTGTGATATCTGTTGTAATATCTGGTTCACACCACATTTGCTGGCACCACAGCTGAGCCTTAAACTCTTCCACCAAGTCACTGGTGACACATTGGGGGTTAGGGTTCGGCTTGGGTTGAGTTTGAGCTGCATGCTAAATAGGCAAAAAGTCAGACACTAGCAGATGACACGTTTTCAATGAAGTCACATAGTTTTGGCATTACAATCATTCTGGGTGTTCTAAGCAAGCACAAACTGTACAAAAAGGGGCGCATGTTAACCAACCCTAACTCTAACCCTAGATTGGCTGTCAGTGACCCGACAGCCCAAATTAGCCCCAAATGTGATACCTGGAAAGTGATTTCAGCCAACTCATCTCACACACGTCTACTTGAGTTGCTGATGGTTCATGAAGGTGAAAAGTTCTGCTGTGGTGAAAATCCTTCACACGATAAGATGTGGACAATTGACACACACATCAGTCCTACTCTGGACCAGAAGGTGGATTCTATCCCAGCATGCTTTGGGTGGACGATAGAGAAGCACAGTAAGACAATGTAGAGTGGCAACAATGACAAAAAAAAAATCTTGCTTTAAATACCTACATCTGCACACAGCAGGACACAGACCAGTGAGGGCCAGGTTAGGGAAAGATTGTCACTGGGTAAGGGTATGGTGGGGATTAGGCAATTAAGTAACGACAGATTGCATTTTATTAACCCTAAACACAAACATTAAACAGAAAATCTTATTTCCTATGTCAAAGTTTGATGCTCTGTACCCATAAACCCAGTCTAGACATAAACCAACTGCTGCTTACACTGCAAATCTGACTAAACTAACAATGTGATTGAATATATTTTTATGTATACTTTACCACCACCCTCTGGTGGCTATCCACCTAAAGCTTTTTGGAAACCGGCCTGACTGAGTTGCACCAACTCTTCATTTAGTTAGGTAAACTGGTTTTGAAGAATGACAGATTTTTGTCCAAAAAATTCCAGTGGATAATGACAGAAATATTTTCTTGGTTAAGAAAAACTTAAAGTCAAGTCAAGAACACTCTCACGGAGGTAGCTGTACCATTGTCAAAAGCCGCAAGTAAGTGACGACTTAATGTCTTTACACGGACACTGTGTATAATTTAAATAAATATTCTGAGAAGTGAAGATATGCAGAGGTTCACCAATCTGCAAAAAAAGCACATTTACAAACTGTGGAACAGTTTAAGACCAGCGTTCCTCAAATTATGAAGACGCTCAATATCTCATCAAGAGTACACAATATCATCAAAAGACTCTGAGCACCTAGAGAAATCTCTGTTTGCAAGGGTCAAAATCAATATTGGATGCCTGTGTTCATGAGTTAAAAACAATCCTTATGCTGGAAATGACTTGAGTTTGTCCAGTTCTTTGGGGAATTCATATCAGGTGGACTAATAGGGACTGTATTCCTAAACACTCTGTTGCTCCATTTTCTCTGTATCCATGCAATTTAAGTATGTGCTGCCTTCTCATTTATTTATTTTTGCATATTTGTCACACGACAGGTTCCAGATCATCAAGCAAATGTTAGACAAAGACAGCCTGAGTAAATACAAGTTGCACTCTTTAAAGTATGATTTGATTTGCTAAGGTAAGAAAGACAGCCAAACCTACCTGCTCACATAGGAACAGGCGTTGCTATTTAGCTAACATTTATCGACATGCTCACACGGATGCATCAGGGACAAATTGGGGTTCAGTATCTTGTCCGAGGATACTCCCACATGCAGACCGGAGGAGCACGGGATCGAACGTCTAACTGCTAGATGACCCGCTCTACTTCTTGAGCCACAGCAACACGTTCTCACTCCACAGCCACCCCTAAATCTGCCAAGTATTAGTATTATGTTTGTGCTTTGAAAACTGTTGTGTACCTTCTATGCTTAAAATAAAAATAATGGCTTTTAAACCTTATTTTGGGGCAAAGTTGTCAGACCTTTTAAACTTTTTTTGCATTCACAGCTCTTTACCCAATTATTTTAAACGGCCTTGGATGATTCCAAATAACTCCCAGGAGAATTCCCAAAATGCCTGCCAGGTTCAGGAAGTGAATTTAAAGACTTTCATGTTAGCTTTTTCTTTTTAAGCTGTTGGTTTTGTTGCTTTGTTCACTTAGCTGTATGCCAGTTACACATGGTGGTTAGTGGGTATAAATATTTAGTAACAACTAATCTCTGTGCAGAAACTGTCATTGTGCTGCAACCAGTTGTAGTTTCATCTTGCATAAAGTGCCACTTAGCAAACACATGGCTAAGTTTGAATTTATGAACAGCTGGTGCAACTGGCTTCAGTATGAACTATAGATTCACAAAAACCTGAACAATTAATCCCAACACTTAGAAGCAGAACAAGAGGTCTCATCTTTCTCATTGCACACAGTTGTCTTCCCTGCAAACACCTAGCATTTATTAGGTATGTAACAATTCTCTAAAAGCACAGTTTGGTTCAAACCTTGAATTGTCTTTAGAGGGGAGCAATAATAAAAATCAGTGACAAACATTCTTTTTACCACAGGCCAAGTCACTTAATCAGAAGTGGATCAAACAAAAACTACACTCCATGATTCAGAAGTGTTTCCAGTTCATTCGTTAACTGAACTGTTCCACCACTGGAGTCGTCGGCTTTAACTGGGAATTAATAAAGTTTACAAAAAAAATTTCCGGGAGATGTAAATGGACTACAATATTGTGCACGTCGTGATGTCAGTCATGGGTTTCAGAAACATTCAGAAACCTGGTGCTTTGACCACTGACAGCAAGGTTGGAGATTTGTGTCTAGCCTGCGACAAACATACGCAACTCCACAAGAAAGCATTTCTGCCAACTTTTCTCAAGTTTTATGAACATTGTAGCTGTACTTGAAATGGTAAAACACACTTTGATGTGTAAGCCATTAGTTCCCTGTTAGCCTTACAACTCATTCAACAGTTAGGTTGACAAAAGCCTACAGCTTGGGAAGAGTAGCTACAAGTCTATCTGTCAAATCCGGCGAAAATGTGTCAGATTTCCAGCCAGCTTTGATGCCTCCTGGTTCTGTTTATATTTGGCATTGCTTATATCAGGCTAGTTATCTGCCCACAAAGCTACATCCATTGTAAATACAGTAATCAGTGACTATTACCAATTAACCTGACTTAAAAAAAACCCAAGGCAAATGACTTTCCTTTTGTCAGTACTACCCCCACAGGGCACGTATGAGGCAGAAAGTAACTGAGGCACAGCTTCATCACTCAGCTAGAGATGCAGGCAAGGGGCTGGAGATGTCAAGGGTGCACTGCAGTCAGTCAGTGTCTAAAAGAATATGGCAGACTGTGGAACAGATTGGAGTAAAGGTCTCAACTATTGCATATGTTACACCTGTTTGTCCCTTTACACATCGCACATTTCTACCAGTAGGGCCACATCAGTTCAGGGATCTGTTACATTGGTCTGAGGCCACTGGAGATTCCACACGCTGCTCTTGCACTGGTCACTGTGTTTGAGACAGCAAAGAGTTAAATACTGGAGTACCGGCTCCATACAAAGAGCAGCACCAATGGTGCATGGTCAGAGATGACAAGTTCGTTTGTGGAAGACTCGAACAAGAGTGTGAGAAGCTCCCATTCAAACAGCCAGACCACAGGCTGAAAGCAGAATCCCACTTTAGTCCTCCTTAGCCATCTGGAGAGCGTCCAAGTATAAATTCTGTCGTGAAGAGTCACGAATCACGGAGCTCACGTAGCTTGGTTTGACGTAATCGCCCTTAGTCTCCACAAAAGGAATCCCAGAAGCCCTTGTGCTGGAATTGATGGCTGCTTTTGCATTCGCAATACTTGACATCATTGCCTCATCACTGAGCTCTATGCAACATAGAGTGTCTGTGGAGTGTCTGTGTCCAGTTGTTGTCATCACTTTAAAGGGAGGCACAGTACTGTGGCACAGCTGTGGGCGCAGATGCAGGACTTCCAGGATGAGTATCAGAAGCATGTTAGTACTGCGGAGTCTTTAATTGCAGGGAGGGCCTGTCTTTTTATGCGAGTACAGCCTGGATGCTGTGAATGTATATTTCTTGATTTCCAGTGTACCAGACTACTCTTCACATTGCTTGAAACAGAAACTTCACTGCTTTGTGGCTTGCCCATTATTGACATTCATTTCATTTCCAGATGTTCAGTAGTTTCTGAGCATGTGTATTCACCTTGTCTTCAGTGCAGTTTTCTTTACCTGTTGGGAGTTTTTTGAGTGATAATCAGTCTTTCTCTCTTAATTGTCTGCAGCCCATCATATATTTGCCTTAACCTCTTATTTCCCATTGTGCTGCAGTTCTGTTAAGTCCTCAGGCAAGTTCCTTTTGGGCTGCTGCAGTCCAGACAGATACATATTGGTATTTGTAGTATCTCCACTAAAAAAACACAACAACAAAAAACCCAGACAACTGTTCCTTTGGCTTCAGGGCTACTAAACTTTGCATTAAACTGATTGAGGTTTTTTTCTTTTGAATTTAAACTTGCATTAGACATTCTACATGTCCACAGCAGGAAACCACCTGAGGATTTGTGTAACAATCTTTGCATACATCTTTTGATAAAAAGAAGATTTCTGGATCAAAGTTTGCAATGACTGTAACATTTTTAGAGTAACTAATAGTATTTAATTCTATTAACGGTTTTAACCCATTTCTTTCATTTCTCTTTCTGATTTTCTTTCTACAGTAGGTTTTGATGGTTATTAAATTATTATTTAAATATTTTCTGTCTATTAAAGATAACTTCCAGCATGTCTCCAAGCACATTGCTGTTGTTATTGTCATATGGAAAATTACTGTTTTCAGTGTTACTGTGTTGCTCATATTGTTCTTATTTCTGTACATTACTTTTCACCTGTTGCTGTACTGAGTATAAACACTTTGCTTTTGCTTTTATCAGCCAAAGCATTTTCATTGTCGGATGAATTGTGGTACATGCAACAAAAGTTTTTGATTCGATTTGACAGACTCATTCTTCAGGTACACAGACTGATCAATATTAATTATAAAAAAGTCTTTGTAATTGTTTCTTATTTTCTAATGATTTATAGAAAAATAAGTGCTGTGCCGCCGTGAGTGTTGCGTGCAATCGTAAAGATCCTCCTAAGTGACAGACTCTGACGCACAGAACTGTAACAGTGACAAACATACTGCGTATCCAACATGATCAGAAACATTTCCAGTACAATTCCGGGATCTTTAAGACAGGTTAGGCTGCGCTCCTTTCACATTTTGGCCCAGCCAGTGTTGGACATAGAGGCGTGCAGTGTTTGATTTGTCTGTCTCACTCCAGACCAAATGTGCTGGTTTCTTCCACAGCAATGAGCAGTTTCTCATACAGCATGGTGTACGAAGGGTAGGGAGGCAGGTCGAGGCGGTTAAAGCAGGTGTGAGCTCTGAGAAATGAGAGACAGAAAGAGACAGACATTTTAAACAAAATGGAGCTTGTCTTTTATCCACTTTAACAAGTACATTCCATAAATAGAGCTGAGAGCCAGAATATACAAGAGGTAGACAAGCAGACGAGCATGCTCATTAGCCTCCTTTTCAGCTGGGCTGGTCCCAACAGTCTCTAAATTAAACCCACTTTAATAGACAAGATGATGTACAAATACTACGTGTGAATAAAGGAGTTATTTGAAACAGTTCAGATTAAATGTTGGTGTGGCAGTTTGCATTGTGCATAACACTGCACACACATACAGGTGTTAGCTAGCAGACTAGCTTTGCTAGCGATGCTAGCAGCAGCAGCCCGTTTTCCTTGCAGGCTAAAATCCATAAACCCATGCAGAATGTGGTTACTACAGTCAAGAGGTTACATGTCATTAGGGCGACCGTGGTTCAGGGGGTTGGGAAGCTCATCTTGTAACCGGAAGGTTGCCGGTTTGATCCCCAGCTCTGTCTGTCTTGGTCGTTGTGTCCTTGGGCAAGACACTTCACCTACTGGTGATGGCCAGAGGGGCTGATGGCAGCCTCCATTCTGTCAGTCTACAACTGTAGCTGCCTCCACCAGTGTGTGAATGTAACAGTGAATGAATAGTGGAATTGTAAAGCGCTTTGAGGGTCTTGAAAAGTGCTATATAAACACAATCCATTAATATTATGTCAGGTTCATCTGAAATGGCTGACACGTTCTTTTCAACATCAAAGTCCCACAGAGATGTGGTGCTATCTGCATGGTAAAAATCTCTGGCTAGCTGGGGGTGACCATGTAAATTACAGAACAAACAGTCAATGTTAAAATACTTAAACGTCTGAATCTGAAATCTGAATGTGTCAGCTCTGTGTCTGATCAGTTTTCTATAGAAGATGGATGAGGCCGTCCAAAAAGATCAGCCCTAGAAATACTTATGTACCATTTACAGATAACACATTATTATTCTGTCTTATCCTGTCCACCTCCCCTCATTTCCACCTGTTGCAACACAAGTATGTCTCTCCCTGAGCCTGGTTCTGCTGGAAGTTTCTTTCTCTTTCTGTGTTGCTGAGTTCTTGCCCACAGGTTTGATTGTTGGAGTTTTCTCTCTGTTATCGTAAGGTCTTTACTTTACAATATAAAGTGCCTTGAGGCAGCACATCTTGTGTTTTGACGTCATATAAATTCAGTAGAACTGAACTGAACTGAATTATCAGCAGGCAGGTACCATGAACATTGATAGCCACATACAAAATGAGTCTTTTGGAGTTACACACTGATTTAAAATCAGGACTGTTCTGAAGAACATCTTCTGCATTACTGCCACCTACTGGATTGCTCAAAGTTGTAATGCCCAGATTAATGTAACATTCAATAAGCCAGTGACTGTTGACTGATATATTAACTGGTCTGGAGCAGTGAGATGTGTAGCTGGTGTAGCTGCATCAAAAATAACACGTAAAAACACTTTTACACGACAAGATTGACTGCCTAATAGTTAAAGCTATTTAGATGTAGTGGAAAGACAGACAACTAATGGTGCAGAGGAATCTTTTAGTTCCTTGAAAGAAAGTTCCTGTGTCCTTTCAGTGCAAATACTACTACGGTGACCTACGTCGGAAGTGATTTTGAAAAAGTTAGGAGGCTGTCAATTTGAAGTATCCCACGTCTGACAAAGGCTGGACACAGTCCCATACACACCATTTCCACACTTCCTATTATTAGCTGAACACAGAACGATGTGAGTGCTCCAGGCAAGCATCAAACACTGGCACCTTTTCCCTCCTTTGCAGTAAAACCTGACTCTTGCATACTTTCTGCTGAGCACTGCTTGTTTATCAAATTAACATCTGACTCCAAGGTCGGAGAACAATTTCTCATCTAGCTGCACTGCAGAGGTGGGAGAGCCAAACAGCCTCTCTGCTGATCAATGTCAACACATTTGAACTGTATATCCTGTATACAGTGCCTCAACAAAATAATACACTGCTGCAGTCAATCAAAGTCCAGGTACTTTGAGATGGCAGACAGTTTTACTGCAGCTTTGATGTCAAGGGAACAACCTTCATGACCTCAGGTGACTTTATTACACCCAAAATCATGTAAGGCAATCAGTATTTACAGATACGGACATCAATTACAAACATGTTGTTTACATGTGTTGGATTTCAGCAATACGTTAATAATGAAAACACAAGACACTGGACAAATGTTACGGTAATATAAAAGATGCACACTATGTTGAGATGTAACCAGCTCTTTGTGATTCACACCATCTACTTCATCCCCCACTCACACATCTGCATTGAAATGCAGTAAACCTCAGAGATGGTCAGGCTCTGGCAAGATAATTACATGGAGGAGTTAAATGACTGTTTTCCATCTACAGACTGGGATGTCTTTCAACAAGATGATGACATGGTAGAGGCGTTTACAGGGTATATTCACTTGTGTGCTGACACTGTGTGTCAGAAATATCTGTCTATCTGTTAGTTGAACCTCAGATTCAAGTGCCATCCTCCTGATTGCTTGTTTTAAAAATACACACATGCAGGCTAGAAAACTGTGCTGTGTTGTTCCTGGTGGCCAGGATGAGCTCACTCTACTTGAACCATGTTCCTTACTGATTGTAAAGAACAGGTAGGAGTGCAGAAGAGGACGAGATACCTGGGTAGCGATGTCACTTTGCCCCACTTCTCAATGCAGAAGCGCCGGAGGCCATTCGAACCTCGCAAGGCGGCAAAGCCTTCGTAGGGAACGCTGGATGTCCCCGTGACAAACTGCAGCAGACGGAGGCGTTGCTCATTGTTGAAGCGCTCCACTGCAGCCCAAAACCAGCGCATCACTATGTGGCCGTCATGGTAACCTAGCATGTGTGACATCACATTTAACTAAGGTTACACACATTGACCAACACAAAACAAGCAATGCATTTTACTGTGCCATTTTCTGTTATTCATTTGCAGTTAAAATAGTGGCAACCCATATTTGACTTAGTCCAAACTGCTCTAAAACTTGGTTTCACACAGGATTTTCTACTGTTGTACAGCTAATATACTCATTTCTGTGCTCACTGTGCAAGCACACAAATCCCACACACCTGCTGCATTTTGTTTACGAGGGGCAGCCATTCTGCAGAAAGTTGGCTTAATGTGAGCCAATGTAACGTGAAGACTGGAGCTAAACCATCTTGATTCAGACAGAAGACAAACTCATAATAATCCTTAAAAGGGATTATTTTGGGAAGAGCCCCAGCATAAAGGTAGTAGTGCTAAAGAACAAAAATAATGAGCTGCAAGTGTGCAAATATCAAGGAGTCAATATTTCTTTCTATTTTCTTTGTCTAACACACCTCCTCTATACTCGGTGTTGTTTCTCCAGTCACCGAGGTCAATCTCCACCGTCCCAGCAATGACCAGCTCCAGCTCCCGTGCATCGAATACCGACACAAGCCTGGAGTCCACCACCTGGAAAGGAAGGAACAAAAGGTTCAGTTCTTTGTGCTAACATTTATTTCCATGTGTGTATTATGATGCTTTGAGGTTGCAGGCACTGGAAGTGAACTGTGTAAGCAAGCGCTGACGAGTTGTTGAAAACCTTGTGTTGTTTACCTCGTAGAAGCCTCGGACCAGCGCCTCCGTCTGTTGCACCACTCCTCTCTCCACCCTCCACTTGGCCATTCGCTCTATATAATCCTTCTTGTTCTTCTCAGTGACTTGGAGGTTGGCGCCACCGGACTTTAGCTCACGCTCCGTTACCTGGCATCACAGTTAGAAGAGTAAAGAGGTAAATAACAGCAGTGTGGAACGTCAGTGACATCATAGCCTCGACAGGTGGAAAACAAAGAGGAAATGAGCAGCTGTTAAACTTTACTCCTCAACAAAATGTAAAACAAATCACATTTTAATTGGCTTTTGATGCTCTGATTAAAAAGTGTTCATCCATCTGCCGCGACTGGTGGTGGGTCAGTGACACACTCAGATGGACACACACACACACACACACACACACACTGACCTGGCCAAACACCTCCTCGTTGACAGTGAAGGTTAGGTCGAGGATGTCGGTGATGTCGTTGTCTTTCATCCACTGTAGAGACTGATGAAACTCCTCATCCAGATACTCCAGATCAGACAGGTCCGTCGCCCTGAGACAGACGCAAAAGTCAAAGACTGACACACAACTGCCACGCTTCACTTGTTCCTCAAATGTTCATCACTAACACACATTAGCTGTAACTGTTTCAACTGAACATAAACCCGTGAAAACACATGAACAATGCTGCAGGTGTGCACGTGTGTGTACTGACAGTCTGAGCAGGGCCTTGTAGAACGGTCTAGTGAAGAAAGCGTCCAGCAGATACTGATGGATCAGAGCCAGGCCCAGGATGCGACCACTGAAACGGAACCTGGAGACACACAAACCCAACATTTGCTTCAGAATCACACAAACAAGCCAGGGTGGCCCACTGGTTTAGTGGTGTACTGTCACATTATGGAAAGAAGGGTCAAGATTGTAATCTCATGGTCGCCTGGGACCTTTCTATGTGGAGTTCGCAGGTTCTCCCTTTACCTAATGAGTTTTCACCAACAGTGCAGAGACATGTTAGCTTAATTAGTGTTTTTAAATTGGCTGACACCAACTTTCTTTCACTGTTGTACTTAACTGATCACAATTTCAAGGCAACCCAAGTCTTTTAGGGGCACAAAGACAACCTTTGCTAATTGGACAGTACCTAATTATTTGGGAACAAAGTGGTTTCTGCAACCCTCACCAGATTTAGAGTAATGTCCAAAACACCAGGCCTTGAATATATTTGTATGGTTCCTCCTACTTTTATTCTCGTGTGCATGATGCTTATTTTTTGTCTCAGCATCCTGATTATCATGCACGACGCTCAGAGCAAGGATCAGCAAATAGAAAGATGCTGATGATGCCTGTGTTTTCATAAAAAGTGCACGTTGAACAAGACAACTATGGAAGGCGTTCACTGTTGAACGACCACAGGGAACGACAGGAACACAAAAGAACGAATGCTGCTCCTAAAGTTTATGTTAGGAGAAATCCTGCATCACATGTGAGGGAAATACTGAAAAATGGCGTCCTTAGGTAACATATAGCAGTGAGCCGAGGGCAGTCATGTCTTGGACTGAGACTTTCTTATTCTCTTCATTATGACAGGACAGCCCACTTGCCACGGCACTTTTAAACGCTTCTGCTGTGGACAGACGACTGTTTCTGAAGCACGCTTTAAGAACCTGTCTTATGTCAGTGACAGCTTTTCACATATTTCATTTCATGCTTGTTTGTTCACATTGTAAAATGTGCAAGGAACTGAAAGGTTATGGCATTCATTGTGTGTTCCCAGTCAAAACACTCATCTGTGGTCTGAATATATTTATAAAAGAGGCTTTTTATTATTTTCAATTCAATTCATTTTTTTTTATACAGCGCCAAATCACAACAACAGTTCCCTCAATGTGCTTCATATTATAAGGTAGACCTACAATAATACATACAGAGAAAAACCCACCAATCATATGACCGCCTATGGGCAGCACTTTGGTGACAGTGGGAAGGAAAAACTCCCTTTTAACAGGAAGAAACCTCCGACCGAACCAGGCTCAGGGAGGGGCGGGGCCATCTGCTGCGACCGGTTGGGGTGAGAGAAGGACGTGAGTATGCATCACACAGCTTACCATTCCAGATGGTTCTCAACAAACGCTGACATGGGGCTGATCTGCACGGTGTAGGTGTCATTGGCTGAGTATTCAAACAGGCCGTAGTATGGATTGAAGAGCTCCTGAGACAAGAGGAAGAAGAACTCTCTGGAAGGACCGCTGTAATCTAACCTGAAGAGAGAAGATGCAACTTCAACTGACAATACAGGCTAATACTGGACTACTAAACGGTGTTTAAGTAGTCGACTGTGAACTAAATGCTAATATTGATCGGATTTGTGCTGCACCTGAGTACAGGAGTGAATGTAAGCATTTCTGAAGACGCCAGTGCTGCCAGAGCTAAGCTGCCAGAAACTGAGAGGTCACTGAGCGTGTACCGCTGGCTCTTAATACCGCCATCACACGGGGCCGCTACCTTCATGCATGAAAACTCATTTTCTGCGCTGAGGAAGATTCTAACTGCGGTGCGTGCAGTCACGGTGTGAGCTTGTGGAGCACGTCCTTGGTACACTTTGTGGTCATGTTTCTAGATGACAGCACATACAGTATGGCCGCATTACGCATTCTAGTTTTCAGTGGATTCATCTAGTGGTGCATTGTAGTTGTATGTGTGTAGTTGGCATGGATGAGCACATGTCCAGTGTTCAGTTAGTGTTTATACCACTCAGCTTCTTCCTCACACAGTTTGAGGCTTCTACAGTGTGTGACAGCAGTATTGTAGGCACTGCCGTGGTACGTCCACGGTCACCTGTTCGTGTTTATTTGTCTTACCCCTCCTCCCCAAGGAACGTGACATAGAGTTTATTCCTCTGCAGCTCTTTGCGTGAATATGCCATCACTTGGTTGAAGGTTCCTTCCAGTAGATGTTCTCTCCTGATGAGCAACCTACAACAAGCAGGACAGCTGAAACGCACCGATACACCCCAAAAAACCTCACCACTGTTTAAGCAATGCTGACACATTCATACAACAGAAGTATCATTTCTAAAGGGGCGTTCTGTTTGATTACTGAACAACACATTTACAAAAAGAGGACTTCACCAGTCTCCTTTATAGCTACGACCATGTCTCCATGGAGTACACAGTGAACAAATATGTCTTTGGACATATTTTAAAGTTGCATCAGGACCTATGCTGATACATGTGCAATGTAAATAAATACATATTATGTCTAATGGGCATCAAACTCTGCCATGATAAAATGAGTTGCTCCATTTGGGTCTTACTTCGATTCAGTTTTATTCATATAATGCCAAAAGTTGCCTCAAGGGTCTCAAACCTCGAGGTAAAGAACCCCAATAATAGACAGAAAACCCCAACAATCAAAGGACCCAGTATGAGCAAGCACTTGGCAACAGTGGGAAGGAAAAACTCTCACTTGATCTTTCCTGGCCCCTGGGCGTATCCTTTAGCTTCTAATTTCCTGTAGAAGTTTCGCAGTTTGGCTTCAAAGTCTCTGCGGTAAGGAGCTGGAGCCCTGGCCCTCTGCAAGCCTGCACACAGAACACAAGTTGCATTACTCTGCCAGTCAGTAAAACTGCAGTTACAGTTACACTCAGCCAGTTATGTGAAGGGAATCACCATGTAGTCCACCAAACAGTCTAACAACAGATTATGAAACCCTCTGAGGCAAAACCTTTTTCAAAGGAATGCCAAATAAAAATGACTTGAATGAAATGAACTGGTTTCTGCATACAAACATTTTTTCTATGTAACACTCACTCACATGTAGGTCTCCCAGATGGACAGCAACTTGGGGTTAATATCTTGCCCGAGGATATCTGGCATACAGACTGGAGCAGTCCGAAATCTAAACCATCAGCCATCCAGTTAGTAGAGTACCAGCTCTTCCTCCTGAGCTACAGCCACCACCGTTCTGCCTCCCAGTTCTTCTGCATGTGTCACACTGAAAATATGTGCTTCTTGCACAAGTTGGGAAGTTGTTCTACCAACTTTGTTCAAAGTGGGAGGCAGGGTACAGCCTAGGCAGGTGGCCAGGCTGTCACGGGCCTATTGACTTTATTTCATATCTCACTGCTAAGAAACAGCAGTCACTAGTCTTATCAAGCTGTTAATCACTAGAATCCCCTTTACAGTAACAACTGCAGCACGGTAAACAGTCAGCTCTATTAGATATCATCCAGCTGCAAAACAACAACCCGCACTTGTTCCTCATCTTGTACACACTGTGTGATAACATCTGCTTATTCTTACTTGTAACACAGAAAAATTAAGCACACGTTCTTCTTGCTGAGGTTTGGGTTTTACTCTCCTGGTGGCCACTGGCTAACACCTGGAATTTATGGTGATATAGTGTTTCCCAGATTTTTCACTCTTCTTCTCTTTGCCTGTGTGAGTTTATTGCTAATCGGCTCTCGTTTTACTTCCTGTCTTGTCCTGAAGGATCGTTTCTGTGCTCACCTCCCTTTGTTCTTTTCATGCCTGCATTAGTGTCTGATTGAATTTACCTGTTCTCTTTGTTCTTTATTATTTAGTCTTTCCTTCTGCTGACTCACATTTTTAAAAAATGATTTAGTGTAAGTAAGTTCATTGGCTCTTCCTGTCACAGTGTGACGTGGTGTTTAATTAACTGTGAGGCTAATTATAGTTCCTTGTTTTTCTACCCATCTGCTGGCTCCTGTTGTCTGCACATTAGTTGCTCTCATCTGTGACAGTCGAGGCTTTTTCCTTCGTTCATTTCCCTCCTACTCAAATCTTGGTGCTAAAGTTATCAAATTATAGCAAAAAAATCCTTTCCAGCATTAAAGGATCAAACATGCTTCAAGGGTCAGTAAGAAGTAAGAGTAGGCAGCGACGGATAGTTCTAACGGTGAATGAGTGATATGAAACGGTTCAGTGTTCATCGTTTCAACAAAGACAACAGCACAACTAATGAATGAAACACATTTACAGACCAGGCTTCCCTGCTGTGACCTAGTTTCCTTTTATAGAGTCTCCCATCAAGAACACGCACACCCCAAATCACGCTCACAAAAACACTGTTGAGGCCTGTTAGAAGTCTGCTGGAGCTCATTAAGATAAGATTAGAGCAGCATCGCATAGCACAGCAGGTTCTGTCATACAGTGCGTCTATTATGAGTTGTCACTGTGTGTGAGTGTCTATTGTGTGCACTGTGATGGGCTCAGATTTCATCACCTGCATCAGCTTTTCTGTGTTTTTTGCACACATGGTTGCTTCAAACAGCAGGTACACACAAGCACACATCCATGAAAATACCCGACAGCAAACACCTCCTGCTGTGTGATACAGTCCAAGAATTCAGTTTTGTTGAATGAAATTTTATTCTTTAAATAGAATTTTTACTTAACACTACTTAGCGTGCATGCCTGTCTGCTAGCATTAGCTAACAACGTAGCACTCCTACTTCTTGTCCCAAAAAAGTGAAAGAAAGAAAAAGAGAAAGTTTTGATAAACAAACATTAATGTCGAGACTTCAAATGAGTCTAAAACCAATAACGTCACAGTGGTTATGTCCGTCTTTTATATACAGTCTACTGTATTATGGTCACCTGTTATTGGTGAATGCCACATGCATCCTGTTCCTCCATTTCTAGGCTGGAATACTAAACCAGTAGCATATCACAGATCATACCAATGTAGGGACATAAATAGGTAGTTTCATGGTTACATGTTATATGTCACAGTTACTATATTCTTTCAGCTGCTTCCTTTAGGGGGCGCCGTCTCACCCTATCCCCAGCACCCTTCTCTGTTACACTAACCACATTCATGAATCTTATCTGTGTTCTAAGGCCCTAAGGCGCTCTCTTGACATCCGTAACTATACTTCATCATCAACACTGTCAAAGCAAACTTTAAATCTGTGGAGCTCTTTCTCAGCATGAAGCCATACTGCTGCTCACTCATTGTCACCCCTCTTCTTAACTTAGCTTCACCAACTCTTTCCCACAGCTTCTTGCTATGGCTGATCAGCTTGATCCCTCTCTAGTTAGCACAGAGGGAAAGAACAGCTCTCTTAATTCTTGTTTCCTTTTCTTGCACCCTCCACCCTCTTTCCAATTCCACCTTCCGTGTAAGTAAAAGCCCATCACTTGTACTTCTTTTTCTCACTTCTTTGGGGGTTATAAATTTGAAATGAAATAAATGTCAAAAAAAAATATTAAAACAAAACAACGACAATAGCACATGCTAGCATAATTGTGACACAGAGCCACTATAAAAGTTGCGGCTAGGAATTAATTAGTGAGAATTTGAAAGAGGAAGTCATTATAAAGGATGCAGCATCGTTAAAGGAACGGTAACAAGTCCTACCAGGAGAGTTCTGTGGCGACGAGGCGGGGGAACAGCGAGGAGAGAAGCTGAGGTTGTGATGGATGGGGTGAGGTGGAACACATGACATGATTTCCTCTTCAAATAAACTGCAAGAAACAGAGCAGAGAAGCAGAACTTTGATTAGTGGCGTGAAAGTAGACACTAGGTTTGAAGCTGAATCCACCTGAATCCAAGTTCTTCACCTTAACAGGATGACCAGGTCAGCATCACATGACAGCTTCTCCACTCCCTGATTTCCTTCAGTCCTGACGTAGTGGATCTTCTCCCTGAACAATCGAGAGGGAAACGAATTGGTTTGTAATTTGTCTCTTTAAAGATATCTCATCCCTCCCTCAGGTACGACCAGTCTGTCTGCTCCTGCTGCTGAGAGACAGCGTGATGCCACCACCTCCAACATCTCAGCAGCAGCAGTCATGAGTCAGGCAGAGGGACTTATGAAGCATTGTTAAAAAACACCAAGACAGAGAGACCAATACACTGTGCTGATTATCTACTCATTTTAAGCTTTGTTATCAAAGTTATCGTTGCCTCTACTTGTCTTTTAATCGTATGAAACAAACCCTAACATGATTGTTAATGACGCTGGCATCAGGCGGATGTTTTACGTGAGAACGCGTACCTCAGTGCATGGTTCCTAGTCAGGCTGGGCTGTCGCTCCTGTAACAAGTCAAATATGTTTGGCTGTCGAAGAAATGCCACTATCTTGTCATTGTAAGCTGGTGAGAGAAGCAGTCAGACATAAACACGGTAAAAGAACGACTCATCAGTAAAAAATACAAACAATGTGCCGGTGATGGGCTTACATGGAGCGCTCAGCTGCTGTGAGTCAGCATAATGCTGGCTTCGTATAGCAGCTACCAAGCTGTTTCCCGGCCTGGCCATCAGAGAAGCCCCTCGACTCCTGGACACATCAGAGGCCTGAAACAAAAACAACATAAGACTGCTGTCCAAATATAATGAAAGATTTAGTCGTGGACATTTTTTATTTATCTCCTGAGTAGACTCGACAAGGGAAGAAGGGCGCATATATATCCTACACTGAGCAGTGTGCCGTAACCGTGAGAAAAACAACCTTTATTGTCATTTCTGCTGCAGTGGTTTGTCATCCACGTTTCTGCTCTTGCACTCTTGACAGGGGCACCCACACGGTTGTTATTCTGATATATTCTGGGTACCAAAATATGTTTTTCCCAGAGCTCATTTTTACAGTTTTATATGTGAAAAAGTTTCTGGTGTTTAAGTTAAATATGCACATATGTTAATTACCATTTTGTTAGAGTCCAAATTGAAAATAAAACGGGTCCAGATTCAGTGAAGTATTTTGAGGTGAGTGTCCCCAAATCTCATCAATCTGTATCAATGAATTCTGAACCTTTAATTTCAAAGCTTGAATCCTTGTTTAGGAATGTGTCACGGTCCTTTGGCCTCGTGTTTCATGTTTTCGGCTGTATTTGAAGTCTCAGTTTGTCTCAGTACTCTGCTGTGACGCGCTGCTGTGCTGCCATGTTTTCCCTGATGTTTTTTGGACTGTCATTAAAGGGGAGCCTTTCATTCATTCCACCTGTGAGTCAGCATTCTGCCCTTATTCAGCCTCACATGTATATTGCACAAAGAGCAGAAGCTGTCAAAATAAACATATTACATTGTAAGACTTTACAACTGGCTCTTTAAAGAGCACTGCGTTCATTCTCTGCCAAATATAAATGTTTTACTATCTTACCCAACCCGTCCAGCACAGTGGAAAGATAGAGGGCCAAATGTCCTGTGACATTTCACTACAAGCTATAATAAGCAACAGCGCCTTGGCCAAACTAATCCACGGATGGAGACCCCACTTAAAATTTGGTTTGATGCAGTCAGAGAAAAACAAAATAAGGAACACTGATAAGCAGTGCATTGATACAGTGCTCTACTTTGAATTATTTCTTATTCAAGCTTTATTCCCAACAAAACAGATTGGTAGTCCTTCAGTAAAGACTAAAGGGCTTTGATCTGGAAAAATTGGAAAAGGAGGTGAATTTCCTCTTAAGACTGGAAACATGAGGAAAATTCACTAATAGGTGGGAAAGCCCATCCACTCAGTTTTGGAGGCAGTTTGGATGGAGAAGCTATTTAAATAACGATGGCGTTGGACGTCTAGTTGTGGAATAAAATGTTTCAGGACATGACCACTACTCCAGCGATTCTTGTTTAAGTTAAAAACAGACATGACTCTTTCGTCTTTTCAGACTCTTGTCGTGCGGCAAGGTCTGCGGTGACGCTGCAGGTGACGCACCTGAGCAGCATCCGCAATCACGCCTCGCTGGCTTAAAAGTCTGTGTCTGTCTAATGTGGTTGTTGTTCATGTGTTCGGCGGCTGACCTGAAAAGCTGCAGCCGAGCCGTGTGATTGTGCACAGCGACCGCGTGCGGAAAGAGTAAATAAAGAAAAGCAAAAAGCGTGGTAGGGTCGTCATCTGTGTCACATTGGTGCCGAAACCCCGGAGGCGGCATGGTGGAACCGTGACCGGGCCAGCCAGGGGAGGAGCTGGCCCAAATGCTGCCACCCAGCAGGATCGAGCAGGGCGTGCTGCTAATTGAGAATCTGATCCGGTCCTGTCCGACACCGCTGCCATTTTCTGAGTATTTGTAAACGGACAGATGCAGATGGGTTAGAGTACCTCCCCGGCGCTGTAGCTGCGTAGTCTCTGCAGGTGCTGTTTGTGGGCGAGGTGGCCAGGCAGCCGGCCATTCTGCAGAGGTATCCGAGGGTCGATGAAGGTCGTGGCTCGGCTGTTGTGATCTACAAAGAAAGACTAAGAGACAGACAAAAAAGGACTGAAGCAAACATGTTGATTGATAGCAGAAAACACACTCATATTCTTTGCTTTTGTTAATCATTCAAAATGAGAGGTTCCAACTGTTAATGGCAGCACCAGCATAAAATAAATAAATCAAACTTGAACATATGCATTAAATACACAAAGGTAATCTGGAGAGCACTGAGCTGGTTCAGTGTAGTCACAGAAGGGAAAACGAGAATTATTGTAACATGTGCAATGGATCTGTGATCTTGTTGACCATCAAATAGTTGCATCAAAGAAGAGGACCAGGTTGGCGAGCACTCAGTCAGTTGATGTCTTCAAAGCTATTTCGGTGTGTCAGAGAAGTCAAACAGATAAATCTGCTACTATATTGAATTTAAATGGGGTCATGCTGGCAATTATATGCAGTCTGAAAACCTGTTTCTGTCTAAATACATAGAAATTCCCATGAGCCCTTACTTACTGTTCATATTTCATGCCTTAACAGTGCGGTCCAGGTCAACTTTGACCAGGGCCAAGAGTTTCCTCAAAATAAGTGTCTTTATCAAATTTTCTACTATTGAAATATTTAGAAAGTGTACATTTCTTATTTGGCATTAATAAATGGATCAGTAATGCTCATTTAAAAAGAAAAGAACACCCTAGAGCTGCTGGGATTCATTATATAACCACGTAAGTATAACAACTGTTAAATGCCATCCTCGGTCTCTATCATAAAATAAATTCACATAACCACCATGTGGTGGAAACAGACAGTGCTTATGAAGGTCCTCTCAGCTCCATGACGTATCGCTTCACTAACATTTCCAAGCACAAGGACTTGCTGACTATCAGGCACTGACATTTGCTGAAAGGGCATTCATGTGGGCGAGTTGTCCTACCTTGCCCTGGGGGTCTGTTTTGATTTCCCAACCCCTTGGCAGCTCCAGCTGACTATCTGCAAACTTGTTGAGGAAGACCACAAGGTCCCTGTTATGTTGGTAGCGCTCAAAGTTTCTGGCATCACGGCGCACCTTCAGGATCATGTGCTTTACACAGCTGCTGCTGGTGAACATCCGGTACGCTGCCTATGGTCACAAATTATAGTCACCAAAAATTATCGAGCGTGGGACTCTTAATAAACCCGTTAAACGACTTAATACTACAGTATTTCACCCTGGATAAGAACAGTACTGTGACAGCAAGATATCCACATCAGTGAAAAAGCCCAACAAAGGGCTCCTGGTTCAATAAACATATAATATGTGCTTGTGTGTATCTTTTTGTATGTTTATACTCACATAGTTGCTGTGCAACACAGTAAAAAATTCTGGGTGTGTGATGAACTTGACAGCAGGAGACTGGAGGAGATGGCTGATCTTCTGTTGATTGACAGGGGAGGCGGGGCCTGCAAACAGGCAACAGGCCATTTAGGAGCTTATATAATGAAATCTTTACTATTTATTACTGTTTTGTAAACCAACCCATGCAGTTTGATGTACATTAAAGTGCAACTGCTGCAGTTTTTTTTCATCATTTAAGACAATCAGGTAATTTCAGCATCCCAACTATACAAGAGCGAATTATAAACCATGTTCATGTAAAATATTAGAGGGTTTACAGGAATATGATTGTTAGTGTGTCAGATGGAGGCGGAGGACAAGCTGAATAGCTGGTATTTTCAAACTGTTGCTAACACAACATGATTTTTGACTGTGATGTCATGTACTCTGTGCCAGTGCATACATATAGCATCAGTCCACAACATTTAAAGCATTGCTTTAGAAAACAGAACCTGCAGTAACACATACACATAGGCAGGACCTTCACAATTACACAACATAACCCAGCACACATCAGGACACTTGTCTTTCATGCGTAATGACGGTGGTATTAAAAGGCGCAGGCCGTGTGAGTGTAAAGCATGAGAGGGCTCAGTGCTGCACCTGTCTGAGTGGAGTCAGGATCAGTTTCAGTACTGCTGCTCCGCTCAGTCCTCTGACTCCCTCCACTCTCTTCTGTGGCCATAGTCCTCTGTATGTTCTGGTACCTGCATAATAAACGACAGCCAGGAATCTGAGAACCTTTCAAAAGTGTACATTTCTGTCTCATGTCACATCATATTTACTACTTCATGTTTTCGATCCCTTTTCCAGACACCAGATGTCACCCTGACTCCACATTAGTTTATCTTACTGCACAGGCTCAGACTATTGAGTGCTACCTCACCTTTCTGTTCAAACTGGTGGTTTGGCTGCAATTTGTACTTTACATAGATAGTTTCAGCTACACTATATTTCCACTTCTAATTTGTACATTATGATATTTTTATTACAAATATTTTAGATATATCTGACTAATGTACTTACAAAATAAAGATCTGACACAGAAAAACACATTTACTTCTGTCAAAAATGTTTATAAACTATGTTTATAAATTATGACATGGATAAAGACTAAAAATCCAATTGATTAAGAAATGTATGTATTCTGGTCATTTTAATCGAATTACTATAAAGTACATTTCATTGAGAAGATACCAAGTGTCTCTTCTCTTCCACACTTCATTCATAATCCTTCCATGTTTTATGGAAGTAAAGCAAACATAGTTACTGGCAGGACGAAGGTCCATTATAACCTGCGACCCACATTCACTGATCTCTGTGCTAGCCCACACCAGCTGATCCACTTCCCTCCCTTTTCTCTTCATACACTAACTGTGCATCTGCAAGCCTCTTTGCAACCGTCTGGACTCCAGATCCTCCATCCATGCTAACTTAATAATGAGGCATTCTTACTGCTTGCTGCATAGCAGGCTCAGGTACCAGAGCAATACCAACGAATGTAAATCACTGCAGTTAAGAAATGTATCTTATTTTGACGGGTCTAGACAGAACTGCTGCAGTCTTACACTTGGAGTTTTCTCTGCGTGTTCCTATTCTGACCTTCTGTTGAGCTGCTCCATCTGATGTGTGGACCCTGAGCGAGGTATGCCATGGTTACATTTGGTAGCATGGCTCGGCCTCTGCCAGGTTGTGGTCCGGTTGACATGGTCCACGTAGAAAACTCTGCCATGGCTGTCAATCCGAGCTTCCCAGTCTGTGGTGACAGAGGGCAGTTTATTACATAAAGTTATTGGCGGAAGCACAGCTCCAGTGTCCACACATGAAGCAATTCACAGTGACAGGGCGACCAGGCACCATAGAAAGCCAATGACATTCTGCGACTTCAAGCAACGGCAGGCAAAATAACTGCTGGCAAAGCAAAGAGGGCAGATCTTGAGCTGAATTTCAACACAAGCGATTGAAGTGACTGCCAGAGAGAGCAAAGGATACTGTTGATTGACATATGATATGGTGATAAATATGTCAGCGTGTTACCTAGGCAACCAGACTGGAAATGTCTTCTAGTGACAAAAAAAACAAAGAAGTAACAGAAATCCAGCTGCCGTGTTTACTTATTTTTGCAGGTTTAATTTAATAAACTACAGCTACAGTTTGAAATGTACATGCATTCATGGATGCCAAACTTTGACTGCTAATTTTAGGGCACACTAATTTTGATAATTAGTGTGACCTGCTCTCTTTTCAAAGCTCAATAATTGTACCAAGCACATTCTTAAGAATTTGTTACACAAATTCACATTTATTTTTGATATTTTGAGATAAACACTTGGTGAAAATGAAGGTTCCAGAATGGCGTTATCAAAGCCAAGGTCATAAAATGTAATCATTAGTTAGCAACAATTACCATGCTTGTGACCATAATTGACAACAGCTGGTACCTTCTACTCTACAACAGCTAAAAGGTGTGTTTGAGGGCACTCGTAGGACTGACAAGCACACAGTAAAGTAAAACATAGCAGAAACTCTGTGCAGTTCTGGGATGGAGTGCTGGAGATTTAAACAAGCCAGCAGTGTCTCTCAAAGAAATTTTAAGAACTGCAGATTCCAAAATCATCCGAGCTAACAGGTATACAAGTTACTGGGAGGTGCAGCAACTTCAGAGAACCAAATGGTCAGAAACAACCAGGAAACCGCCATGACACAGAAACGAAACTGCCTGAACAACCAGTGTCATGGAAACAAAGATATTATTATCATTATTGATGGAGATGGTTCCGGTAAGAAACCTCACATCCAAATACAGCACACTGACAATTTGAATAAAACCTCCAGCTGACCACATAGACAAAGGAAAATCCTTCTGGAAGACATTTTTAATCTATGATGAGATTAAAAGTATTTCGGGGTCTTGTTCACGAGTGACTGGAGAAGGGAGCGGGAGATCAACAGACGGAATGGTGCAGCGGCTGCAGTGATGCAGACGCTGCACCGGTCTGTTGTGGTGAAGAGAGAGCTGAGTGTAAAAGCGAAGCTCTCAATTTACCGGTCGATCTACGCCCCTCCCCTCACTTATGGTCACGAGCTGTGGGTAGTGAGTGAAAGAACGAGATGGCGGATCGGCAGAAATGAGCTTCCTCCGAAGGGTGGGTGGCCTCTCCCTTAGAGATAGGGTGAGAAATTCAGCCATCCAGGAGGGGCTCAGAGTAAAGCCACTGCTCCTCCACATCGAATGGAGGCAGTTGAGGTGGTTCGGGCATCTGACAAGGATGCCCCCTGGGTGAGTGTTCCGGGCATGTCCCACCAGGAGGAGGCCCCGGGGCAGACCCAGGACACGCTGGACAGATTACATCTCTCGGCTGGCCTGTGAACGCCTTGGTGTTCCCCCGACAAGCTCGAGGAGGTGGCCAGAGGGAGGTCTGGGCTTCTCTGCTTAGTCTACTGACCCCGCGACCCGGCCCAGATAGATGGAAGAAGATGGATGGATGGATGGATGGATGGATGAGACAAATGTTGAGTGCTTTAGTTGCCAGAGGTTTGTTTGGAGGAGTAAAGGTAAGGCTTTCAATCCTAAGAAAACTGCCAGCTGGTGCAATAAATATAAAATGAATCAAACCAAAAAAAAACATTCAAAGAAATAAGCCAAACCCTTGACAGCAATGTCTAAGATGAGTAAGGTGTAATGGTGTGAGGTCCTTTCTGACATGACAAATGACAGATGATGAGATAGCAAATGTCTTCAGTTTGTGATATATAAATATTAAATGCTATTACCACATAGTTCTAACTATATCGAAGGCAAACTTTATTAAGCACTCAGTAGTACTTTTAGGACTACAAGAAACTACTACTACCCAACTTCTAGTCCATATTACCTGAAAGATGATTCCCTTAAAACCAAACACATGTAGAGAAGAGGTTCAGTTCTGAGTGAGGCTTTGGAGTAAACACCAGCTATTAGAATCAACCTGTCAATCAAAGCTGTCATACCTCAAAGTCTTAACAACATTCAAATGAATGAGTTAAAAAAAACACAGCTTGTAGGAAGAGGAACGCTCGATATATAGATTTTGGTATTTTGTAAGAACCATGTTTATTTTTGCTTTAAAAGTGGGCATTTTAACACAGAGGTTTATGTGGACTCACTTGCCTTTGAAGCCAACCTTAAGTGGCAATTACAGAAACTGCATCTTTGGACAGTTCTAGGTTTGCTTCATTTTTTTTTGCCCTGGAGGCTGCTGCTTGTTGTTAAATGTAGCTATCCGGT